TTGGTTGAGGAAATTCAAGAACATTAACAAGTTTTCTGCAGTCCATTGTAATTCCTTCAGATGAAATATGAAAATCAAGCAAATAAATTTCTTTCTGAAAGAAATGACATTTTTTCGGATTCAACTTCAAATTGACCCTTGTTAATCTCTCAATCACTTGCTTCAAGTGTTCCTTGTGTTTCTCAAACGTTTTGCTTGCGCAAACAATGTCATCCACAAAAAAACCATACAAAAGATAGTCCTTCTAAAGCTATACTCATAGTTCTTTGAAATTGTGAACTGACATGCTTTATACCAAACACTGTACCAATAGGTTTGTACTGTACGCCACGCCATGTGAAACTAAGTTTGTGTGTGTCCTTTGGGTTCAACCTCAAAGAATTAAATGCAGATTTCAAATCCAGAGTGGAATAAATATTCGCACCCTTTAAATCTTCAAACAATTCACCGATCAATGGCAAAGGCATACGATCAATTGACTTCAACAGGCAATTAATTAATCTGGGATCATGGCAAATGCGATATCCAGTAATTTCTCCTTTACTGTTTGTCTTCTTGATAAAAGTCAAAGGCGTATTCCATTGTGTGTTTGCAGATGCTCTTTCAATTATACCATTGTCCAGCCATTCTTTCACCTGTTCATCCACTATACCTTGCATCTTGTAAGGAATGGGATAAGGGCTTCTGAACGCCGTAGCATTTTCTGGAGTGTCCAAACATACAACACTTTCAGGTATAGTACAAAACGAACCCTTAGGAATATCTTGATTGTCTTTAATGAACAGTCGAATATAATCTATAGCATCCTCAAACTGTTTGGGACCTACAGCCGGATTATTTTCCTTTCGTTCATTTTCTCTCTCAATGGATTCAAGAAGATCACTCTTATTGTTGAAGCATCTACTGGCTTCTCTACGTTCCTCACTTGAATCAGCATCATCATATGATAAAGGTAAACCATAAATACCAATACCAAGAGAAGACATATAATCAGTACCAATACTGAAATCATACTCATGACTATTAGTTAAATTCATCACTTCAAACTCGCGTTAAATAGTCTTACTATTGCAAGTTACACTGATCACACAAGTACTGATTCTTTTAATCTGGATATTGCTATCAGCCAAACGAATAAAATACTTATGAACATTGTTTTTGTTCAACAAATCTTTATTAATGTGATTGATGTAACTAATGGCTATTTCATTCTTCAAGCAAAAATTCTTGTCCACCAAACTGAATGTAGCCCCACAGTCCAACAAGGAGATGGTTCTAATAGAATTATTTGCCAAAATAGGAAAGATAATATTAGTGCTCATGTTCTTAAAATCTCTTTTAATAACCATGTCTTTAAGATTGTACTTACAATCTAATGCCATCTTGGCCAGAGCACTAGTGTTGTCTTGGTACTCTGACCAAGACAACGAGGGACTCCCCTCAACCACAGTGGAAGCTCTTGCTGGTCTACTAGCAGAGGAGCGGACTGCCATCCTTGACACCTTTGTCAAGTACTTCTCCCGTTCCGGACAGGAGTGTCCCTTAACCCAGGGAGCCTTGCATGAGAAACAGATGCCATCCTTCATCGCCTTCTTGAAGTCCCATGACTTCTTGGGAGACTGAGAACCACGCTCGTGAGAGAAAGACCTTTTCTTTCCCTTGTGGGAACCAGCAGAGAGAGAGGACGCACCATTGTGAGCAGCAAACGAACTCCAGGAGGACGCGGCAGTACCATTGGCAGGATTATATAACAAAGCAGTGAAGTCACTTGTTGACACACTCACCAACGAGATGATGTCCTCAATCTTTGAGGGCATCTTGGTGCCATAGTTGGCTGACAAAGGAATGAGACAAGCTTCCCGGACTTCCAGACGCAGATTCCACCAGAAGCAGAGAACCAATTGAACACCATCGTCCAACGAGGCCTGGCAGCGGAACTTTTGGAACTTGGCACCAAAAGAACGAGCGGATTCTCCTTTGCCTTGTTTCGTGCACCAGACACGACCCATGTTCAGGAACTTATGGAACGGCATGTCATAGTGATCCAGAAGAATACTTTCAGCCTTCTTCCAGTTGTAGGCCTTGCCTTTGAGCTTGTTCTCAAACCAAGAATGTTCTTCCTTGTTCAAACAAGTGGGCAACAGACGTTCCCAGCAGGAATCCAAGGACAGAGAGTGTGCTTCCAGGACTGTGGTAAACTCCTGGCAGAAGTCATACACCGAATCGAACACATTGCGATTGGCCTTCACCAGAGGACCCTCAGAACGAAGCTGGAGAAAAGGTAGGTTACTGGGAACCAGAGTGCTTCTCTTGTCATGAGGCTTAGACGCAGGAGCAGTGGAAGCCTTGAGGTCCTTGAGGATTTGCTCAGCCTCAGCAAACAGTTCTTGTGCTTCCTTGGCACCCTTGGAAGCAGACTTAGCAGCAGTAAAGGTGGGATCTCTCTTGGAAACACCCAAGTAGTGGCCTAGAGCGGCGTAGTAGTTGCCCTTCTTAGCGTTGAGGTCCTCCTCAGCAGAAGCCAGCAACATTTCCATGGTGGCCACAAGGTTATTGTTAACTCTGACTCCAGAGTTACCTAAATAGATGCGAGGAGAATTGGCACCCTCATAACCAGAATGGTCAGCATCGGAACCAGAAGAACCTTCTTCAGAATCAAAGGCACCGTCCTCAGAACACAAGGGAGTCATCATGGTATCACCATCGTGGTCGGCAGAACCAGCAGCAGAAGGAGGAGGAATGACACCAGAGTTGACAAGGGCGGTTTCTTCACCAGAAACAATAGTAGAGTTGACAGCGGATTGTTGAGACATTTCGAGAATTCAAAGTAAAAAATGTGGTATTTCAGGTACGAAACAATAGAAAAATAAAATATTTGATAATAGAGACGTATAGAAATACTTTGAGACTGTATATAAGTTGTCTTTATTCATAAATAAAAAGTGTCCCTTTTTATAAGAAAACACAATCTGCTCTTGTCATTACGTCTTAGTTTCTTAAGGCTTTCTTCCTTTACTATATTTGGTTATTAGAGTGTATTTACTGCTTAACTAGTGTCGGTGTTCCAATCATGACATCAAGTCATAAATCGTACTTCTTTAGCTCTTAGCTATTCTTTTCTCTTTTATACTAGAGCTTTAAGACTTCCTACTAAATTAGCTCCATATCGATCTGACACAGTTTACCCGGCAGTATGATATAATTATCTTAACAATCTTTAAGATATTATCTACAATACTAACTGTAATAATTATTGGGCTGATTACTTAATTGTTTATATATATTTTATACTGACAAGATGATAGCTACTACGCTATCCCAATATGAATATGTTCTTATATGTGATAAATCCAACATCCGAGTGTCTGGATCACCACAAAGCAATAAATACACTCTAATAACCAAATATAGTAAAGGAAGAAAGCCTTAAGAAACTAAGACGTAATGACAAGAGCAGATTGTGTTTTCTTATAAAAAGGGACAACTTATATACAGTCTCAAAGTATTTCTATACGTCTTTATTATCAAATATTTTATTTTTCTATTGTTTTGTACCTGAAGTACCACAATATATGTCCAGTTTTTATAAAATTTTGTAAACTTCATGCCGTTTTTTGAAAAAAATGTATATCTAGTATATATAGTCTTTATCTTTTTACAATATAGAGTTTCAGTTTTGCTTTAGTTATATAACTTGTACAGAATAAAGGAGAGCTAAGTCATTACAGACCAAATGATCACATGTGCTAAGAGTTATCTTAATTTTTTATTTGCTTGAATCCTAAGATTATGATTTATCATTTTATATATATGTCTCAGAGTTATATTTTTTATATTAGATAATTATCTTGGAATTAACTCACTATTATTTTATATAATTTTATATTAGTTTGTATACTTTGCCTTCTTTTATAGTTTTTTATATCATAGATTGAAGTTAGCTTTTAAGTTGTTTGGTTGTGCATATTGTTGTATATATTAGAAAGTTCTAGATTTGTCTTCTCTTCCTCTTTTTAAAGTTATTGTTGATCTTATTCCACAGCAAAAATAGTTTCTTGTATTTTTAAAATATCTAAAATATTGAATAATCTATATTATATATATTTATAAAAAAAGTGAAAAACATGAGTTTAAGATAAAAAAAAGAGAAAAGAAAAAGTTTGTTTTGTTTTTGTTATTATTATTAAATTTATTTTGTTTTAGCAAATACAACATTTTTATGACATTATTATTTGTAGAGAGACTGCAGTGAGACTATTATATTTTATCACTATTTTATATTTCTAGATAATATTCAAATTGTCTATGCTATCATAGTCTTCAAAAATTAAATATAGAAATTTGCACCTATGATTTAATTGTCTCTATTCTTACTTATCTAAAATTGTTGTCAAAAGTGACTACTTGCTTTGGTGCTGATATATAACACCATTAAATAGAATAGTGCTCCAACAATAATAAATGAACAAATAAACCGAAATGTGGCTCACCTGACAGAAACAAAAAAATTAATTAATCTTGTGATGTCATATGCAATAAGCAGCACAAAAAAAGCATATATAGTGTGGACAAAGCTTACACTGTAAAAAAAAATATATGATTATTTGAAACAACCTGTCAAATTTGGAAGAAAAAAGCCGTTTTTTCAATTACCAAATATTTTTTTATATTTAGAAAGCTTTAAATTTATTTTTGTCTCATGGAGCCATTATTTTATTTTATTTTCTTATTTTTAAATTGAATAGCCATTTCTGATAAAAATACAAGGGCTATATTTTTTTTTCTCTTCCCAAATTGTCAGAGATAGAAACGCAACCAATTAACTAAATATATATTCAACTTGAGTTTCAGTATCAACTCTGATTTCAAATAATTAACCATGTCAATGTACTTCACAGTAGTGAGTAATTAGGTTAAAAAAAAAGGATTTATATTTGCATATATAGAAAAAAAAAGAAGAAGAAAAAAACTACGTAATAACATGGATAAGGAAATACCACATGTCTAATGATTTCATTGTTGATGTCGTGAATGAGATCAGCCATCCCTGTGATGGACTTCATCTCCACCACTTTAATCTCACCGGGTGTTAGATTTTCCCACTCAGGAAACTTCCCCTCATTGTTAGGCCAGATGCCACGCAGACAGTCGACAATGGCAAAGAGCCTGATCTCTTCCAAGACAGATTGAGAAAAGAATTTGTGAACAGATCCATACCTTTGAAAAAATTAATTGAAACGTGATTAATAATATAACACCATAAAACATAACTCATTACACTTACTCATTCAGGTGTTCGAGAACAGCAAGATCATTGGCTCAAACATGCCTGCCTTCAAATAAAGATTGGACTCTGTATACCACATCGTCCTTCTACATCTTTGTGGTGCAAACCACGTCGGTGGTTTCTTCAACTATAAACATGCTGTCTTGGTCTCAAATACATGCTAATGAACTAACTAGATTGTGGTAGTTCATTCCACACTCATCTGCTACAACAGCCAAAGACTTTCTGGTTGGGTTCAACCAAAGTTGGGGGCCAGCAATATCATTACTTGCAGCTTCGAAGTTGCTGGTTCTCCTGTCTGTTGGTCTTCTATGGGAGGCCCAACCACCAAGGCAATGTTTGACCCTGGCCTTATGGAACAGGATGTTTTTCATATTTTTCCCTGGTTCCTTCCAAGACCCAATTGCTGCCCTGTATTCACTAATGGTGCGTTCAATCAGGTGGCAGCTTTATGCCCGCAGTGGGCCCATCTCTCTCATCATGTAGCTAAGATGAGCCAGCATGTGCTAGTTTATCACAAAAATTGTGGGCTTTAATCTTTTTTCTGCGACTTCGCGACGAAGGAATATATGCCAGTGACAAATTGCTCTATAAAAGTGATTAAAACATTGTTTAATATATATGCTATTGACTTACTCTTCCATAATGTTGACTTCTCTCTCTGTCACTTTCCACTGCTGGGCAATAGCGCAGGCCTTTACCAGGTCTTGCACAGCATTTCTGGTTTTGGCAAGGACAAAGTTGTTTACCACCACCATTGGCACAACAAACAGAAGGAAGTCCAACCAGTTGACTGCCTTCTGTCGACCGGTTGTTTCCTCCAGCGATTGCCAACTAACAGTAAATATTGTGGTAATGTCTGCCCTGGACTTGGTAATTGATCTGTCAATCTGATTAAGCCTGACATTTAGGGCAAATGTATATATGCTTTGCTGTTGTTGCTGTAGCTGTAGCTGTTGCTGTTGTTGCTGCTATTGTTGCTGGGCTCCATTGTCTGCGATCTCAGGACTGATCTGAAACTTTCCACCCAATGCTTTGTATAGTTGTTTGCCTATATCATGTTCAAGTAGATGCATCTCATTGAGCCCAAAGAAAGCAGAACTAGTCAGTGTAGGAAGATCCCTGAAAACATTTGGACCATTGACACTGTAACTCTAAAAAGAAAGTATTAATATTTTAATAATTTAATAATTAAGTACTTAGATTTCCCTCGAATTGATGGAGACTTTCTACAGTTCTCATACGAACAGGCAATTCATCACCAAAAAAACACATCGTGTGATGTTTGGAAACACCTTTGGAAAGACAAGCTCAACATCCAAAGAAAGAATTGTGATGGGCCAGGTCCATCAAGTCTGACACGGCTGGCTTATCACTAGTTGCCATGACAAGATGAACCTTTACATTAATTTGTCCGGCAACAGTCTGAATCTGGATACCCGAAGTGGCCAGCATACGAAAATCCTTGATGATTGGCTCAAGGAAGGACCCTATATCCCTTGGGTGTTTTGGTCCAGGTATAATTGCCAGCTGCATCATGTTGTCGCTCTCATATCTAAATATATTTTATTAGTATATTTATATATAATGTCTTATATTATACCTTTCTTTTAAATCGATATTTAGATTGACAACATGAATTATAGTTGCCAACATCTTGGTATCATCAAAGGGGTTGAACTGGTCAATGAACATGGTAACCAAGATGTCATCCTGGCAAACTATACTGCCTTCACACAGTCTGCAGACAGCACCACCGTCGAACACATCTGACAACACACCAAAACGACTACCCATGATATGGCTTCTACCATATGCCATTTTGGCATGTTCTTGACTATTCCCCAGCTTGAATCTCAGTTGTTGCGAGAGATGCACAACCTTGAAAGTCTGCACAGAGACCAGAGTATCTCTCTCACATCTGAACCGTTGGCTACCACAGTGAGGACACTGTTCTTTCTCGTCTATCAGATTACTGGCTTCTACATCACGGAAATGGACACAACCTTCCATGCACATGTCATAAGTGGCTGTACAAACAGTGTATTTATCCTTCAATATCTTGTCCATCTTGTAATACGACAGGAGTGCATTTGTCGCAGCTAAAATGATGGTAAGCTTCTATATAAATAATTCATCTTTAATTATATACTTACGCAATCCATGCTCTGCCATATATTTATTTACAATCTTAATACACTTGTCAAAAACATTGTGAGATACGTTATTCTCAACAAACATAGAGAAGAACTTTAGGGTAGCAGCCTCTGCGTATGTATTAGGCTCATAAAAAGGGATGTAAGACTCTTGGTTCACGTTCTTGGTAACAAAATCAGACTCAATTAGAAGAGTGTTTATATTTACTGGGTTGCGAATACGCGAATATCTATGAACAGATTCTGTAACACGTATATGTATATATAAATAAATTCTCCAACCGTTAAACCTCATAAGTCTGTTATAACTTTTGTTTTTTACTCTTACCATACAAATAGTCATTGCTATTATCACTATCATTGTATTCAGCTTCATTGGTTTCAGTATAATCATTGTTGAATTCGACATCTACTGAATTACTAATACTATATACACTTTCCGGAGCCATGAATGCTTCAAAATCATTTTCTTCGGCTCTACCAATGTCTTGATCGTGGACTACATTCAAAAAAGCCATGTTGGTACTGGTAATCACATCTTAGTTTCTTTCCCGTTGGTAGAGAGTAAGAGTGAAAGCCTCTTGTGCTGTTTCTCGACCATGGACTTCGTCTGAAGAGGCTTGATTGGCACTGTTAAACAGCGATTGGTTTCTTTCCTGGAGAGAAGGAGCAAGGGCAACAAAATCTTGTGCAATATCTATATAATAAGTTGCACTAATGTCACTGTCGCTTCCAGAAATACGAGTTGCAGAAGTGTTTGTGTTCATCTTTTGTTTTGAGTAGACTACAAATAATAGTGTAAAGAAAAAAGTATCAAGAGTATAAGTTTTGTGATATAAAAGTTTATTGTTTTATACGGATATTATTATATACATTATGTCTTTAAAAATTGCTTTTCATTAAAATCGTATCCTTATACAGTAATTTATTGTTTCTAAGCATAATTATGACTGTGAAAAATATATTTTAATTAACATTTTCAAAATTTAATTATTTACTCCTTCATTATTTACACACAAAAATGTTGACAATTAAAAACCCACAAACAAACAATAACCAAACCACTTTTGAAGGGGTTGTATCTGAAAGTGTTTCTGCTTTCAGCTCCTTGGGTACTTCTGGAGGGACGTACAGAAGAGATGAACAATGTGTTGAGTCGAGAGAGGCCCAGTCAGGGCAAAACATTGGCAACAATGACAGTTGAGATATCCCAAGGCCTGATAAAAACACATGTTCAGAGTCAAGCGCTTTATCTGCCAAAGGGATAAAAATACAATGCCATTGTATTTAGGTAAAGGAAATCCACAGACTGGTGCAGACATGTACTATATTACAGGAAAAATTGTGCTTCATGTGATAAACAACACATTCGATGCACTTATTAATAAGAAGGATGTTATTCTTTCATGGGGTAACTTAACGTCCTTTCAGAAGAATTATCTTGTTCACAAGGTCGAGAAAAAAGCCTTGGAGAAGAATATATCCCTTAATAGATTTAAAAACTCATGGGCAGTCCGTCATATGCTTTCTCAAAAATGGAGAACTGTGATAAATGACGCAAGAAAGAAAAGAAAGGTATACTTCTTTAAATAACAGTAAATTAATAAATCTATATCCAAGTAATACTTTATAAAAGAAATTATATTTAGCAACTGAGTAAAAATATCAATGATATTAATTAATTTAATTAATTTAATTAATGAAATCAAACTATAGGCTTTTCACGTATAATGTATATTATTTACACTTCTTTTTAATATACTTCTCTTAATTTCATTTCTATTTTTTCCATCGTTTTTTATGTCTTTTTTCAGTTTCAAGGTTTTTTTTAATAAAAAATATTTTCATTTAAAACATCATGCATTTGCTGGACCAATTATAAGAAGAATAGATATACCTAAAAAAAGATATAGTGATACTATATTTAGCTTATTTGATTGGATTAGAAAAAAATAATCTGGAATTCAACGAATTGCATTCTCCAAATTTTTTATAAAAAGGGAAATATTTATCTAAAAATGGTATAATCTTACTATTTTAAAACATTTTATTGGATTAAAAAAAAGTAATTTGAACTCCTATAAATAGTATTCACTGTAAATACTTTTAATTTACTAAAAGCCAAGATTCTATTAACAGACATTATAACTCTGTGACTGTAGAAATTATATAGTTGCGGAGTTATAATGTCTGCCATTTACTACAGTGTTAACTGCGTGTGATATTTCAGGTATGAAACAATAGAAAAATAATAAATTTGATAATGTAGACGTATAGAAATACTTTGAGACTATATATAAGCTGTTCTTTATTCATAAATAAAAAGTGTCCCTTTTTATAAGAAAACACAATCTGCTCTTGTCATTACATCTTAGTTTCTTAAGGATTTCTTCCTTTACAATATTTGGTTATTAGAGTGTATTTACTGCTTAACTAGTGTTGGTGTTACAACTATGATATCAAGTCATAAATCATACTTTAGCTCTTAGCTATTCTTTTCTCTTTTATACTAGAGCTTTAGGACTTCCTACTAAATTAGCCTCATATTGCTCTGACACAGTTTATCTGGAAGTATACAGACCTGAGGTCCCCGCATGTCTCAAGCCGTCCAATTTTTTTCATATCGGAGAGTGGAAAAAAAGTGAGTAATACTCACAATTGTTTTTTTTTCTATGTAAATTGCAAGAATTAGTCAAAGTAATCCAAGGTTTGGGTCTAAAATCATGGAGACATTTAAATGGACCAATAAACTATATAAAATAGGGACTTAATAGGAATTAGTAGCACAACAATTTTCTTTTGGAGAAAAAAGTGGTATTCATATACTAAATTGGCTTTAATAAAAAACACAAAAGACATATATAGATGATTTAAAAGAAATAATTGATAGTAAAGATGTGTTGAAATTTTGATATTTATATAATAAATATCTGCCAATGACTATATATTGTCTTTATAGACTTGATGGGTAGTTAATTATAAAAAATAGAAGCTGTGGCGGGTGTGTGTACAAGAAAGGAAAGTCTAAAGATAGCTACAATGTACTTGTCTTTTAGATATAGAATACTTATTTTTGGAAGTGTAGTACAATGACTTTCAGGAATCAATGTTAACAAATGGTGGCTGGAATGTCAAGGCTTTAACTATTTGACAGCTCACGTCTTGATCTGATTACATTTTCACTACATTGATTGATACATTTGAATATAACATTGAGCCATAATTTAATATCAAAAAGTATAAATACAAGACAATTTCTTTCTTTCTTTACATCCTTACTATTTATAATAAAACACCCCCAACATTTTCATCATGAACTACACAGAAGCCAGCTCCTCTACCCAAACCAATGTAATCAACAATAAATACTATCAGCACAACATGGAAAACCGGCTGACTATGCAGCAAAACAGTGAGATGATTGTCTCTAAAAACCAGCTGTTCCACCCCAAGAACACAACTCATGCATATCTAGCAAAGCAGAAATAGTGAATGGTAAGTTGAATAAAGTAACACTTCTTCATGATTAAATATGTCACTATTTTTTCATTTATCTAATGTAATATATGAAAATTAGAATTGGTGTGTTGAAAAAAAAATTGCTGATGGCACGATTGTCTCTGATGAAAAATTCGTCTTCTTTCTCACTGATTTTGTCATGGTTCGTGACCGCAAGTTTAAGAGAAATGATGATGACACCCCTGTTCCTCTTGGAAAAGAATCAATTCAGGCTTACGTTAAGGCAATAACAGACATTTATCACCAGCAAGTAGCTTTGAACTTGAACAAGAACCCCCATCTTAGAGGACCAATTGTAAGACAGTTTCTAGACACAAGCACAAAGAAGAAAACAAAGTGCAAGAGAGTCGAGTATGAAGACAGAGAAAAAAACACACTCAACAATAGATATACAAAAAACGAACTTCTTCTTCTCAGTCAGTACTTCCTTGAGCAAGATAGTACAGTGGGAGTTAGAAATCGTCTTTGTTTCCTTATGAGTCATGCAATGTTGATGAGAAGTGAAACTGCCCTTGGTACTCAATATCCCAACCTTTTCAAAATAGAACTAGAAGATCAAGATGTTTCTCCATGTGTTGCATTAGTAGCTATAATTACATATGGAAAAACCAACAAGAATGAAAAAATCCAATACGGATTTGCTCTTTGCCACGCCAATGAAGAATTATGTCCTATTAGTGCACTAGCTCAACATTTTTTTTCCAAATTCCACAATGAAAACAAACCGTTTGTTGATTTTTTTACACGCAAAACATAGTACAAACAGCTACTTGTTTCCTGGCCAAAACAAAAGCAAACCAATGAGTTACGATGAGCAATCAAAAGCATACAAGTTGGCATTTGAAGTAGTTGGGATCAGCTCATCTAAGGTTATCCATATCAATTGAAAGAGTGCCATCAACATGGTATCCCATCAAGACGTCTCTGGTGATCAACAAATATAAGTTGGTAGATGGGGATAAGACCAAATGGTGGGATATTATCTTTCTGGTCTTTCTGTTGATGCAATCAAGGTTCTAGCCAGGTTTTCTATTCACAGAAGAGACTATTTCCTTAACCGTGCCACAATCATTCCCCCAATTGAGTTGCAACAAATGATATTTCCAAGCATTGAATCATGGAAAGCTAAATTTCATAAGAAAGAAGTTGAAGATGATATTGCTGGTCTCAATTTTTTGGATCTTTTGGCCTATTTAAGAATCATTTTTCTTCAGGTAAGAAAATAGCAATAGTGCTTGGATAAATGGTCCTCTTTTATAATTTATAAAAATAGGACTCTGTGGTTTTACAAAAGAAGTACCCAAACCATTACTTGTGGATAAGTGAAATATTTTCAACAAGCCTATACCAAGAGTTTGAAGCACAACATTCTGGTGCCATCGGTGAATCAACCGAGAAGTTTCAAGTGAGTGACCATATTCAAGTTGTTGCACCAGAGATAGCTGCTGCTATGCGAGCCAGATTTGATGCAATAGTCAGATCCTTCAATACAATGCAAGCCCAAAACCAATTTGAATTTGCAAATGCCAGAAGCATAGGCCTAGAGACTAGAAATGTACTAGTTGAAACCTTTTTACAAGCTTCGTTTCGTCTATGCAATGATCCTTCTCAAATCCAACAATGCCTTGAAAATGTCTTACAGACACAATCTCCCGCGTCCTCTGGCTACACTGCTCCTTCTGTTCCCTCTGTTACTTCTGCTTCCCTTGGTCCCTCAGTCCCGTCTGCCCTGTCTGCTCCCTCAAGCTTTACCCAAGTTACAAATCCAGACAACAATAAAGAGATACCACCATATTATAAAATGAGCCAAAAAATTCTAACTGTAACAGATATGTGGCGCGAATATTCTGTTGGAATATCTGGGAGCTCATCAATTAGATTTCTTGAACAGAACTTCAGGGCAAAGTGGAGAATCCACAGTGATAACAGAACAGAATCACGATTCTTTAGCAGAAGAGTTCATATATACAATGAGTTGGAACGGCTTGCTAGAGAAAGACATTTGACAGAAGAAGAAGTTGCTCTGCTTGTTGAGAATAAGCGCCGTGATTTAAAGATATCTTTAAATGAACTTGCAAAAAGAATTGCTGATAGCAGCATTACCTTCTAAAAAAACATCCCATGCATACATACATACATATTTAATACTTTCCATCTAATTTAGTCTTTTTTTTTTATAATTTTATACAATTCTTCAATAAAGTTTTTATCTTATGCTTTTAAAGTTAATATAATATGATCATTATATCTTTGTATTTAATATTATTATTTCATAATACCTTTTATATGATTCTCCCTAACAATCTTTATCAAAAATAATAATGTATCTTGTCAGTTTCAAGCTTCCCTAATACACTTCAAAAAGTTGAATTCTGCTTAAAAAAACTTAGTAAAACTGCTACACAAAAAGATCTGATTTTCAATTTTTTCCCAAAAAGAAAGTATTCTACTCTGTGTCTTTCTCCAACTACAAATTGAAGAGACGCCGTCTAAGACCATGCTTGTGCCCAAACAATACCCACTCAGTATTCTTAAGAATTTTTTTTTTGGATCTCTTGGAGATATTTTATATATTCTGCCAATTGTTTCTCTGTTAGATGTTTTGCGTTTTGTCCATTTTTTGTTTTTCTTTGACCAAACGAAGTGAGTTGGAAAATCTATATACAGATATTCACATGCTGTTATATTGTGAGTGTTATATGAAAACCACCCTGTCAATGTTGTGTTTGTGTTTGCATTTGATAATTGATGTTGATTTATAGAATCATAGAAATATACTAGCTGAGAGTTTTCAAGATGGAGTGCTAGTCTTTGGTGGGTTGGGTGCTCTTGGTGCAGTTTAAATAAGAAAATTTTCCAGTATGCTTCAGAGGCCAATACATAGCAAGCATCCAGAAACTCATTGACTTCATTTACAGCTTCTTGCTGAATATTAGTCATATTAATGCTGGTATTGGTGGTGGTGGTACTGATACTGGCTGATTAAATTTTTGTTATAGCTCAATCATGGCCTTTATACACATATTTGTATAGATATTTTACAGCAGATACAGAAGTACAGATTTCAACATTGATGTGGGCATTATATTCTGCACACAAATATAAATTATGCAGAGCTACCCATCTGTTGTCCAGTGATGCTGAGCCTCTGACTACTGTCATCTCATTATTTCTTCTTTTATACTTTGGATATCCAGGTTCATTATCGACTGTTTCATCACAAAAATCTTTTGGAAAATTCTTTTTGCATTTACCATTTTCCATGCATGGTGCCTTTGAGTACCTTATATCACATGAACCGTATAGTATACTATGGCAGACAGCTCTATAGGCCAAGGGTTTTGTGACTGGATCAGGAAATTTAGCAGAAACTATAAGGTCATAGTCTTCTGTTATCATTGGTTTATCATGGCTAGATAGGATCAGAAGAATGTGTGCGTGCGGGAGTCCTCGTTTTTGAAACTCTATGACATATATAAAGGCTTTGACTTTCCCCAAAACATCTTTTTTTGTCAAGTCGTTCATTTGCTCTTTAAGCTTCATATTGAAAACACGGGAGCAAAGATCTGGTCTGTCTGCTGCTTTTTGACCTGCTAAAAGTACATTTGTGATTTCAGACCAATGCATATTGCAGGTGAATGTGATGAAAAGATCTGACTTGCCAAAATGGCATACGATACTCATTGCATTCTGATAGAGCTGGCCCATGTGACGGGGGCTACCAATAAAAGTAGAAGGAAGGATGACACATCTTCCAATGTTGGTAAAATTGTTATCCTCAAGATTAATAGTATCTTGTATTTCACTGTAAAGGTCTACTCAAAGGCAGTTCTGATTACTGGCAAGAAAGTCTATTTTGTTATGTTCAATCTTTGCATATATGTTTACAACAAATTGCTGAAAAAGTCGGCCAAAGAGATGGAGGAGATGGAGAGAATTGGGATGGTACATAAGTTGGCTGGAATACTAATGCATAGCACTAATGCTTTTTTCTGACAAAGATTTTGATTCAATTGTCATCCGTTCTCACCAGAAGGGAAGAGCAAGACATAATGAAGAGCATCATATGATCTATGATACTCATTTATTTTTTGTAGCTGGTTGGTTTGTGTATGCAGTACAATGTCTCTAGAAGAACCTCTTTCATTATTCATAATTAGAATAACAACCTCATCAGCAGTTGTTGTATTATATCTTCTTTGATCTTGGGGACCTTCAGCAACCAAGCATATAGCAACATCTTCTACATGTCCATTCTTCTGTGATACTTGATCCATTGGTCTGAACAGAGAAACAAAAGAGTTTGTCTCTATGAGAATCGATTGAATTTTCTCCAGAATATCAGTTTTCAAGTATGGAGCATGATGGCAATGGTGCTGGGCTTGTGATGCTGGATCATATATGTATACTTGAGCAAGTTAAGGGTGATCAATATCTTGGGCTCTTGATGGACAAATAGACCCAATTCTGTGACATATAGTGCCATGTATTCTGAAGCAGTACGCACCATCTTAGTTATTTGCCACAGAGTTATCAATTTTAGCTCCCAGCAATGTGAAGCTTAAGGTGCTGTTGTAGCCTCTGATTTTACTGAGAAAATCTTTCCCATCGGATGTCCTGTAATTTAGAAGCTTGGAAATTCCAGGTGGTGTTGGCTCAAGAGAAGGAAGAACATACTTTTCCTTGTCACAGCACATGTTAAATTTCGATCTGCAGATAAACAAATCAGTGTCCTTCTCTTTCAACCACATCAATGCTCCACAAAATCTACAGACAACATCCATATTCCCTCTGCTATCAATTTCTGACTCAGAGATATTTTGGAGTCTGGCAATGTTGGCAACATTCTGGTTTTGAGGATTCTGATTTTGTACCGGTATCTGTACATTGTTAGGACACATCAGGCTAGTTATTCGAAGATAATTTGTTCCCAAACAGCTTGGACAATGAGGGGTAGCAGTGCTTTCATTTATTGTCATGATTTCTTCCTCATGCTCACTGGTAGGTTCTTCAGCAAGAATAATAGTTGGATCAACAACTGTGTCCACAATTATTTATTGTTTTTCAACTGAATCTATTCTTACTCTCAATGAAGCAGCTAAATATATGAATAGTAGATCAATTGAATTAGACTCTTATAATTCTTATTCCTTTTTTAATTCTTTAGTATTATATCTACTACTTTCTGCAGGAAATTCTTCTTCAATTGAAATATTCTCATTTGTTCTTTTCGGAGGGATATAAAGTGTATTTCGTTTCTTATACAAAGAACAAAGAACACTGGATTTACGACTATGACCCATAAGCTTGCATGAAGTACAACATTTCTCAGTAGAAGACATTTTCAATTATTGTTATTATTGAAATTTGAAATTCTCTGCAGTTTTAATAAAATGGCCCCTTAAAAGATATTATGCATGCCTTTCTCCAAATGAAAATATATTGCCAGATTAAATTGCACAGCAGATGTCAGAACACAGTGCAAATAGTCTCATAAAGTAATTCGACTGAGTATTGTATGCTTATTTATCATGTCTTGTCTTGACTATGTATTAGATTAAATGATATTTTGTATGCTGAACATTATTTATTTATTTATTTTTTATTTTTAATTTATGTTTAGTATGAAGACTTATAAATATTTACTAGGGAAGTGGTGCTCCCCCCCCTCCCTTCCGGGGGGCCACATGGACTCCCCTCCCTGGCAGGGGGGCCTCAGAGCCTACTGAAAGTTAATATAAAACCCTTCCCTATTGGAAGTCTAAGTACCGTATAGCACAATTAATAAGAACATTTTATTTAAGTGAATTATATGAAAAGAAAGGATATCTATAAATGTTTTATTATTCAAAAAAAATTGGTTAGATAAGTTTATAGTGTATATTATATATAATTTTTTACTAAATGTCAAAGACTTCCTTAAATACAACATTGTCTGTAAATACAGTATTTGCCGTTTTGTTGGAATTTGCTGGTGTATCAAGCATTATTTTGATTGTAGAAGGTTTTCTGACCTGGGATAGAGCAATATACAGCTGGCCATGGGAGAATACTGGGGCAGGGAGATATAATCCAACACTCTCAAGAGTTTGACCTTGAGACTTGTTTATTGTCATTGCAAATGCAAGACGAACTGGATATTGGAACTGCTGGAATTCAATTTCACCATTTGATCCAGATGGATTAAGCTTTATTCTTGGAATAAGAGATACTTGCCCGGCATTGAATCCAGTCACAATTGTTGTTCTGATGACAGATGTTCCAAAAGAGTTGCAAATCAGGCATGTACCATTACAGAGGCCGTTTTTTGGGTCAAGATTGTGAAGAAGGATGATAGGACATCCTTTTTTTAAGGACAGTGAGTGAGGTGGTAGGGATCCAGGATCAATGGTATTTCGTAGCTCAACTGGATATGTCAACTGACCATCTTCATCAATTCCCTGGTCAACACTCTTAAACTCTTGTGCCTCTCCAGGAAACTGGCTCAGAAGAATATCATTGAGTTTATTGACATCTTTATTCTTAGGAGTAAGCAAAGCACGGCCCATGAGAAAATGAGGGTTGGCTGCATTAGAGGAGAGATCATGAAAAACTGCTTTGGCCAGATCAGCAGGATTACATCCAGAAAGTAACATATGGGGCGGAATTGGAATGGTGTCATCACTGCCTGTTGTGTGGGCAGAACCACTACCAACTTGCAAGAGAAATGCTCCAAATTCCCTAAGCTCTAATGTTTCTTGTTCATTATTTGCTTGGGCAATTTGCATGTTTGTTGTAAGCCGCAAGGTTTTTACATTTCTCCATGCAGATGCTTTCTTAATATATTGGCTTACAACCTGAGCTCTTGTTGCCTTGGGTATAACAGGAAGGACCTGCCGAAAATCGCCTCCACAGTTAAACAACTTCTCTCCAAATGGAATGTTTTCAAGCAATGGATCGACAGCCTTCATTATATCTTGCATGGATCTGCTTACAGTATTAAAAACATCTTTACTAATCATAGAAGCTTTGTCTCAGATAACCAATTCCGTTCTTCTAATAAGTTGTGCTGTTTGCGAGTTTGCGTTGATGGAGCATAAGGAGTTAAGATCAACTTGCACTGGAATCTTAAACCTAGAATGTGCTGTATGCCCACAATCTAACAGCAATGCAGCAATTCCACTTGTTGCTACTGCAAGAGCAATTTTTTCTTGTTGGCGAGTTTTTTGAAGCAAGGCATTAAAGACAAATGTCTTTCCTATCCCACCTGGATCATTGGCAAAGTACAATCTTGGGGTTCCCACGTTTTCTTCAATTGCACTTAATACTGTTGTATAGACACGTCTTTGTAAATTATTGAATGTCAATGTATCTGGATCTGGCAAAAGCTGAGCTTGATCACATAAATCTTTTTGTTCTTGTATGATGGCTTGAACATCTTGCCCATTTAGACTAAAGTGCTGGATGTCAGGCATTGGTGAAAGAACAAATCCAGTGAACAACATGAGAGACATAGAGTTGGCAGATAGATGACTTTCGATATCCCATAAACATCTGTCAAACATATCTTGTGTGGGGGCTAACGCAGGAGTTCCACTACTTTCTCTTGTCAAATGAAGATAATCTTCAATCATAAAATCGCGATGAGCAAATCACAAAGAGAAAGGATCTGATAATGCACAGAAAATCAAAAGAATAGCAAAGAGTCTTTGTAAAGAAAATGGGATCTGATGAGCTGCTGCCTCTTCCATACAGTTACTCCACTCATCATCATTCAAAAGTAATCCCAGAGCACGACATGCAGCTTGGTTTGTTTCATACACACATCCTTCTACTGTACATATGTCTTCAAAGCTTTTGGCCCCTTTAACATTATGCAGCAGTAATCGTAATGAATATTTTTCAATATCTCTTGGAGACACTGTGTAAACTCTGCCAATCGTTCCTTTATCAAACCTCTTACATGCTGTTCATTTTCGTTCTTTTGTATTTCATACATAAAGAGAAGGAAAGTCGACGTAAAAAAGTTTTTCAGATGATGGGTGTGTAGCATTATAGTCAAAATATCCCATTAAAGTAGTGTTTTTTCTGGAATTTGCAACATCCTCTGGGTTAGAAGATGGATTATAATATATGGGTTGGGCATTTTCCAGATGGATTGAAAGTCGTTGATGGCTGGGATACTCTTGATGAAGCTTGAAAGAAAATATTCTCCAGCATGCTTCAGAAGCGGAGACATATCAAGCATCAAGAAACTCATTAACTTTGTTTACATGGTCTTGTTGTTGTTGTGGAGCAGAATTGGTGGATGTAGGCTGCACACGGACCATTGCACAGTCATATCCTTTATATACATACTTGTAGAGATATTTTACAGCAGAAACAGAGGTGCTAATCTCAACATTTATATGAGCATTATATTTTGCACATATGTATCTATTGTGTGGAACAACCCATTTATTATCTATACTCTTTGGCCCTCTTCTAATAACTCTTCTATTTTGACTGCATTGATAAATAGGATATCTGTTTCCACCATTGCTAGTCTCATTGCAAAGCTTTTTAGGATAATTCTTTGAACAGATCCCATTCTTCATGCATGGTGCTTTTGGATATTTCTTTCCGCATGGGCCATGCATCATGCATTTTTTTACTGTTTCATATGCCAATAACTCAGTTTCAGAATCTGGGATTTCAGCCAAAACTATTCTGTCAAAATCTTCTATTGTTTTTGATTTATCTTGTGGTCGCAAAATCAAAAGAATGTAGGCATGAGGAAGTTCGTGCTTTTGGAATTCAATGACATATATAAAGGCTAAAACTTTCCCCAGAATATTTTTTTTGTAAGGTCAATCATAAGCTCTTTGAGCTTTATATTGAAAACCCAAGAACAAAGATCTGGTCTGTCATTAGCTTTTTGCCCAGCCAACAGAGAATTTGTGATTTCCGACCACTTTGAATTGCAAGTGAAAGTTATAAACAAATCAGGCTTGCCAAAACGATGCACAATACTCATTGAATCTTGATAAAGTTGAGCCGTATACTGGAGACTACCAATAAAAGAAGATGGAAGAATAACTCTCTTTCCAAGATTTGCAAGATTACAATTGTTATGGATAACAGCATTCTGAATTCCACTATAAAGATCTACACGGAGACGATTTTGATTGCTGGTGATGAAGTGCAGCCGATTGTGCTCAACTTTGGCGTACATATCAACAATATATTGTTGAAAGAGACGGCCAAAAAGATGGAGGAGGTGCTGTGTGTTGCGTCGATACATCAAACGGTTTAAGTATCATTGCATTATTGTAACATGCTCTCCTGACAATGAGCTGGCATCAATAGTCCAACCATCTTCACTATGTGGAAAGAGTAGCACATAGTGTAAAGCATCATAAGATTGGTGGTACTCATTGATGTTCTGTTGGAAGTTGGCTCTGGTGTGCAGCACAATGTCTCTTGAAGTACCCTCTTCATTATTCATAATAAGAACTGCTATTTCACTTGCAGTTGGAGCATTGTACCGTCTTTGATCCCAAGGCCCCTCAGCTACTAAACGCAAAGTGAGATCTATAGATTGTCTCTTTTCCTGAGAAATTTGATCCATTGTTCTGAAGAGATGTACGAATGGATTTGTTTCCATGAGAATGAACTGAATCTTCTCCAAAACACTTCTCTCCAATTGTGGGGAATGGTACTGTCTTTGATCTATCTGAGCAGCACTATCATAAATATAGATCTGAGCGAATTTTGGGTGAGCAATATCAGATTCTGTCACTGGCAAAATAGACCCAATTCTATGACAAATTGTTCCGTGAATCCAGAAGTTGTATGCCCCATTGATATTGTTGCCAACAGAGGTATCAATTTTAGCTCCCAAAGAAGTAAAGCTCATTATACTATTATAGCTTCAAATGTTTTCAAGAAACTTCTTTCTATTACGTGTTCTATAGTTCAAAAGCTCAGCAATTCCTGTAGGTGTTGGCTCAATTTGGGGGAGAACATGCTTTCCTTTGTTACAACACATAGAAAACGTGGGGCTTCTTAAAGAAGAATGACTGTTTTTTTCATGTGCCCATATCATTGCCCCACAAAATCGACACTCGATATCCATATCTCCCCTGTTATCAACTGCTGGTTCTGAAATAGCTGGAAGTCGGGCAATATTATTCAAGCCTCTGCCTCGATTTCTAGATCCTCTTGCTCTGCTACTGTTATTGTTTGGACAAAATCTGCTTGTAATTCGGCGATGATCAGTTCTGTTACAGTGAGAACAATGGGTAAAATTGATCCTCTATTCACAGTTGAAATCTCCTCGACTTCTTCTTCTCTTCCAGTCACTTCTTTGTCAGATGAAGTGACCTCGACTTCTTCTTCTCTTCCAGTCACTTCTTCATCGGATGAAGTCTCCTCAATCTCTTCTTCCATGACTGCTTCAAGAACTTCAGTAATAGTCTCATTTGCAAGTGGAAATTCAGTCAACTCAGAAACTGAAATAGAAGTTGATGTTTCTATGTCCAAATTTTGGTCTTGGACAGGCTCACTTCTTATTCTCAAGGCAGCAGCCATTTTTTTATAAACACATTTATTATTAAAAAATATATATAATACTTGCAGTAATACACATAAGTGTATAAATAAATAGTTACTTTGGCTACTTTCTGCAGAATATTCATCTACGTTAGTTCTCTTTTGAGGAATGTGGAGAGAAATGTTCTTTGGGTTCATGAGACATTGCTTATGAGTACTTCTGCTATGTCCAAGCATATGGCAAGCAGCACAATGACATTGAGTAGATGACATTTTATTTTTTGGTTTTTTTTCAAAGTTAGAGTTTGGTTTGATAGTTGTATAAGTTTTTTGGCAATAGTTTATAAAGTAAATTCAAGGGATTAATATCTTGGTATATCATGTAACATGATAAAAGTACTAGATTTTAGATGTGAAATAGATGTTTTACAGACAAATTCGTATATCATGTGATGCTGCTAATTTTGATTGATTTTAGATATATAGACATTATAATTATAATTAATTTTATATTTTTATATTTTTCTATGCTCTTAAGAAAAGTAATATGAAAATATTAGTTAGAGAATAAAATTATAAATTCAAAGACAGACTCTAAGTCACGTGCTTGTATTCCAACTTTTTAAAGATATAGACTAGGGGAGCGGTACTCCCCCCCCTCTCTGGGAGGTCCCCCCCCTCCCCTCCCTCTGGGGGGACCCCAGAATCCTACAGACAGTTAATATAAAACTCTTCCCTACTGCTCTATTCTAATGGGCACATAATTATATAGTTTTTTTCTCTATTTGTCTTTTTAAATATAGACAAATAGTGCTCAGTCAATTGATTTTATTAATTTTTTTTTAGGATTTTCAGAGTTGTAAATGACAGTTACTAAGTCACGCGATTTAGAGAAGACAAGGATTTTAAGATGGTGAAAAGTGGTAGTTGCTAAGTCATATGATTTAGAAAAGATAGGAATTTTAAGATGGTTGTAAGTTCCAAATTGGGAATAGGTAAATCACGTGATTTTTAGTTACTAAGGATTTTAAAGATATAGATAATATCCTTTCACTGATGTTTACATCTACGTAGCAGTACTAGCTTGTAACAATGATATTTAATATGCAGCAAAGTTAGAAAGTATTATTACTTTTATGATCATTAAAAAAATAAAAAAAAGTTAGTGTAGAGTTAAAAAGCAAAATGTTTATTTTTGTAAAAAAAATGTAAGCCCCAATACAATAGTTGAATTTCGCAATTATAATCATAAATTTTTGCAAAGTCATTTTTTACCTTTAAGAATTGTGCTGTGATTTTGTTTAGGAGCACTTGTACTTCAGAGTATGCCTTATAAAGATATTTTATTTTTTAAAAAAGAACGGATATTATATTCCGCACTCAATAGTTTTAGTAAGCCAATAATATAACAAGATGTTTCAGCAGCTTTAGATGTTTGATTGTTCTGATTTTGGGAGTTAAAAATATAAGCCAATAACAACTAATCTCTAAACAATCAACTGAGTGCCCTAAATATTATATAAAATCTACATTTTACTAAATTAGATAATTGTCTATAGATTCTTTATCTATAGATGAAGACATCTATCTCGCAAGACATATATAGACAAATATATCTATAGATAAAGATATATATAGATGAAGATATCAAGATTCAATATTATTTATAGGTGTTGTATTATTAAGTGTATATTCTATACAAAATATCAGTTTAAATAAGACAAAAATACATAACTGTAAATGCATATTCCTTGTCTTTATACTTCTAATTATAAACGTGAGCACTCAGAATTCTGCTGAAGCATGTATGTAAAAGATATGTCTCTATAAATACACCACATACTAATATAATATCATATAGCTGCTAGTCAAAAAAGAGGATTTACATGCTGGAACAATGACAATGTTAGGGATAAGTCATTGTCTATCCAAATTCTCATCAACTGGCTTACCAATGCTGGAAAGATGAAGATTCCAGTGGAAAGACAAAAGAGACTCTTTGCTCAGAGATCAATGCTATAATAGTTGAGAATGATATTATCTACCAGTCCAACAGTGATATCCGCAGCAAGATACTATACTTGCATAACAAGTTCAAGGATGCCACTGATTTTATAAATGGAATCGGTCAAGGAATTCTTAATAATGTAGACAAGAATGGCAATTCTACAGCTGCAGCTGAAAAGACACTTAGAGATATACTTATAAACTTAATATATATATCAGTAATAAAGTAGTTTGTAATAAATAAGAACTTTATGTCTTTGTCTGTAGATATAGTAAAAAAAGATGCATATACTATTACAATCTCAAGGATATGACGATTAGCAGACCATCAACTTTAGCTCCCTTCCCAATGTCAAACGGGGACCCAACTGATGTTTCCAATGTGTTTGAGAGGGCTCGCCAATATGATAAGGAAGCAACTCAAGTAGAAGTTGATTGAGGCAAGGGAGTTCAGAATATCTACAATGTTCAGGATTTTGAATAGTTTAAGACAACTTTCCCAGTTGAGTATCTGTCTGCGACCTCAAATTACCAAAGACCTTCCAAGCAAGCCCAAAGAACAGTAGACTCAAATATCTCTAATGTTGTAGAAGAGTCAATCAAAATAAACCGTGAGCATTTTGATTTGATGCAGAAGAAGTTCAAGGCAAAAGAAGAGTTCTACAAGAGGCAACTTCAGCATCAAAAAGACATTTGCAATGACAAGATGATGTTTGAGAAAAGAAGGCTGGAGATCGAAGAGAAATGAGTCCAGAACGAAACACAACAAGTAGAAAATGAAGCAAAACAACTAGAAAATGATAGAATACCGTTAATTTCCCAATCAGAAAAGAAAGTCACAACTTAAAAGATTCTTTGGTTTTGATTTTTTTATAAAGATAATCAGCTATTATTTGGGCCCGACTGTTGTATTTGGGATACTTTAATATCCAATATCATATACGAACCCAGACAAAAGTACCTGTCAAAGAGGTTATTATAAATGATTATCCAATATGAAGTCCTATCTGAAACATAAGAGCAATGTGTCAGATCCATCATTGGATTATCTTTAAGAAGTACTTAAACTATTATCGCAAAGCTGTTACGATGTCTCATATCTATGGTGACTGGATATATCTCAATAAATATAAATATCATATATAAAATAACTTTTATTAAGACAATTCGATTTGACTTGAACTTTTAATAAACACAATAAAAAAGAGTCTCAAAGTACTTATTGTTCCACCTTTCCACATACAAATATAATACCAATACTTTTCCTCTTGGATACAACATTTCTATCGCTAATTATTCGGGCCAGACACTTTTCCTCTCGGGCATGACGTTTCTCTGGAGCACTACGTTTATTGAATCTCCGCCTTTCACCATTTACTGGCCTCATAAAAAGTGACTTGTTGTCCAGCATCCAGCAATTTTATCTGGTCCCTAACCACCCTAAGTAGTTTATATGAGTAAAATCAATCTATCAAAATATAAATAATTTAATTCATGAATAAGGTACATCTTCATTTAATATAACGGAATTTCTAGGTGTACTTAAGTAGTAACCATATTAAAATTTCTATTTTTTTTATGCAGTATATACAAAATATACAATTTGTAAATGTTGTGCCCGAGAAGCAAAACGTCGTGTCCCAAACGTGACTGTGTAAGAAACGTCGTGCTCGAGAGGCATAACGTCATGTCCTAAATGTGGCAATAGAATAATTGTGTTCAAGAAAACTGTTGATGCAATATTTTACTTATTGAAAGTAAAGCTTCTATAAGTATAATTATAGAGGTTTCTAGAATTTTACTTTACATTTTAAAGAGTTTATATTCAATGCAATGTCTTTTTTATTGTAGTTCTCATGCAATAAATGCACAATATAAAATAAATAAATAAAAATTGTGACCACACCTATTTCTGTAAAAACACAAGATCTATTTGGTTCCCGTCAACAAATCATATACCTGCTGTTGCTGATGAATCATTTTTTTACGATTTAACTTGAGACATAAATCATATATTTTCATTTTATGTGATTTAAGTGGAAAAGATTATAATCCATATAATTTGCATTTTTTTCAAAAACTTTTGTAATAGATATAAAGGTAATGAAGCCTTTTATGCCTAAGAAAGTTTGCATAGCAGTAAAGCTAATATATTTTTACAAAATTCATGTTTTTACTTTTTATTTTTTATTTTTATTTCTTCTGTAAAAACTCTTTCTATCATTTCCTTGCAACATGTACATGAGATATTTTATCAAAAATACAAAAAATGAAAAATATTTATATAAGACCAAAAAAAGTTTTTAATTACATATATTCAGATAACATATGAATCCAGTAAAAGTTTCATAGAAAACAAATGAGAAAAAAGTGATTCTACAAGCAAATACAATATTTTATTTTATTGAAAAAAAGCAAATTTTTGAGATATTACGTTAGTTTTCTCATGATCGACCCTTTCAATTCAACTAAAAATTCTAGAACACATACATATATCTATAAACTACTTGGATCCAAAGTTATAGAGAGCCAAGACTTGAATTGATGAAATAACTAGATGCAAATGCATAATATAACATATTCGAAGATAGTTTGGCTCGGTCTGTGTAACACCATCCGATATTTATGATTTTTAATTCGCTGGTTATAAGTGTAACTCGAAGGGTAAAGTACTTCCCACGAATGATCTCTAGAAAAAAACAGAGCAGAGAGTCATTTAACCCACAAGTGATAGATAGCTTATGTTGACACAAAGAAACAAATTGATAAGATTTATAAAGATTTAAAAAAGATTGTCTAGCTAATAAAATATAAAAGTAAATGAGTAAATAAATAAGAAAAGATCTAGCTAATAAAATATAAGTAATAAAGTATAATTAAAAGAGTAATAAAATAAAAAAGAATATTGAAAAGAAATTATTTTGGAGTAAGATCAATTGGTTGATCTAGAACAGAATGGAGAGAGAGCATGACATTTCGGCAATCATGCTTGTTAAATTCTTTGAACTTATTCCAGTAAGTATCAAAGTTATCATCAATTTTATTTCTGGCACAACCTAAAAAAAAATAATTCAGGAACGGTTGGCCATTTTCTAGAGATATTACGGGAAAGGTCAACTGTTGTCCAGTGATTACTGTTAACATAATTAAAAATCAGAGGTTGTTGTTGTTTGGTTTTGTTGTTGGGAAGGGCAAATGGGAGAAAGGTTGTTGAGGGGGTGTTGGGGTTGTCTGAGTAGACGCAGACTGGTCGTATATATGTGTCCGCAGCTAGTTGAGCACAGTCAGGTGTGTTAAACCACATACTGGCATCTGAACATACTGGGATGAAGTTTGTGTTGGTGTTGGTGTTGCTATAATCGAGTTGAGAGACATATTGAATGATTTTTCCTAGTTGGCTTGTGTCAGTGCCAAAGGTATTTGTGTACAATGTTTTGTATTTCGGCAGGGCGGCTAGCATATCCCTTTTTACAAGTGAAAACTTATTTTGATCTTTATAGATCAAGTGGGAAAGGACCCGAAAACCACACCACCCGTCAGCAGTAGGGCTAAACCCACCCTTGACATCATTGACTATCTCATGAGAGACAGGAAAACTGGGCTGGAATTTGACCCTCTTGCCAACAGAAATGCAATTATCATACTGGTAATCTTCTAGGGTGGTGGCAGGTCTTTTGAACCCATTTTTTTGGAGGGCATCGACTAAAAAGTATATAAGTATAAGACAATAGTTCTCTTTATGGATTCAATTACACTGTAAAATAAGAAAGCATATTACCTGGGTCGAGAGGCTCTTGTTTTATTTTTGTTGTTTTATTTTTGGTGGCATCGACTAAAAAGCATATTCGTGTAAGACGACATCCTTCCACATAAATTCAATTAAAGTAAAATAAAAACACATTTTACCAGGGTCAAGAGGCTCTTGCTTTATTTGTTTTATTTTGTTTTTGGTAGCATCAACTAAAAAAACATGAAAGTATAAGATGGGAATCCTTTCTCATAGATTCAATTACATTGTAAAATAAGAACACATCTTACCTGGGTCGAGAGGCTCTTGTTTGTTTTTGTTTTGTTTTTTGTTTTTTGTTTTTTGTGTAGCTGCAGGCTTTCCCTCCCTCATTTTAGCTCTCAGTCTAACCATTGCCTTAAGGCCAGCCTAGTATTTCAAGATACATATTAATACTTTGTTATTTTTTTTATCTTACATGACCAGACGAAACACTGATCTTCCTCCAGTTTGCCTGACCAAAGTCTTTGGGAAGGTATTTGGGATGTGCACCACCCTTTCTTCTGCCAGGATATTTAATTTTTTTTGGGGCTTGAAAGTTAATCAAAGGGTGCCCAGTTTTGCCTTCGAATTCAGAAGTGACCTTATTGATCTTATTCAGGAGGTTAGCCACTTGCTGGCTGCTCTCACAGGACCAAAACAGTGCCTCGAGTTTAATTACTTCCTCCATCCACACCTCTGGTCTTTCCTCAAGCTGGAAGTTTCCCTGACAAGTGTTGTCCCTTGGCTTTACATTACGAGGGTCAATAACCCACCTTTCAGGGATATCAGAAATATAGATATCTCTTCCAGCAGGCAAAGAATGGCGACAAGGTAGACCATACTGGAGCTTGTTCATGAATTCACAAACAATACTGCTTTCACATTTCAGTCGAACCTCTTGGTCTATTACCAGTAAAGCTCGCTTTGAGACCTTCATGAGCAGTCTAGACAAAAGCTTGTTTCGTCCAACAAGAGGGTCAACCGTGGTAGATTCCCTGATCTCCACATTCCGGAAGTCTCTCTCAAGCCTCTCAATATATCTTGAAATATTTTCAAAGGCGAGATCCAGAGAAGCTATTGCAGATATACCTCTCTTTAAGGCTTGATGGGCACTTTTCACTCTTTGAGATGTTGTGCATCCAAAATGCATTATCTTCTGAGTAAGATAATCTGCCCACTTCTCTTGGCATGTAATCCACCTGTCATGAAAATATGCCGAGACTGGCGCTTTCACATTGCCGTTTTCTACTTCGGAACCAGCAGATACAGCGTTGAACTTATTCAGTGCCCAGTCAAACTCCTTCTTACTTTTGCTATGGATCATATTGGATATATATCCCGTCAGCTCTTCCTTTTTTGTACCAAGCCAACTTTTCCCAAAAAAGCCTTTTCCACACTATTCAGCATGTGCCAGTAACAAAGCAGCTTGCTGTTGTTCGGAAACACAACATCAAGAGCATTCATAAGTGCAGCACACTTGTCTGTCACAAAAACTGTGCTAAGAGCCTTGTCTTCAAAAACAAGTGCCTTGAGTTGCTGGAGGAACCAAAGATATGTGCCTTGCTGCTCGTTAGAGACCCAGGCAAAGGCAATGGGAAACGATTTGAGGGTTTCTCCTCCGAGGTTGTGGATACCTTCCACGCAAATCAGCGGCATTGACAAGTTATTGGTAGAATATGTAGCATCTACCACCATAACTTCTGAGAAGCGACGAGCTCTCTCCATCATCTTCTGATTGGTAAAAAATACCCTCTCCAGCGAATTGTCCCCGTTTACATCATAATGCACCTGGTAACCTTTTGTTTCCATCATCTTAACAAGTCCAGTACCTGCATTCTGGGCAACAGG